CTCCATACTTTTATTTTACATTTAGCCGTTATATTGAAGAAATCAAAAGATAATCAAGAAACAAAAATGAATAGAACATGAATAAAGAGGAAATGAGTGCGGAAAACATTTTCCAATATAAGTATTACATCTTGTTGTATATAAATTTTGATACAAAAGCAACATCAAATACTGAGTACGGTATACGACTAAAGTTATAAATTAGAGAGGAGGGACGGCCCCGCCGGTAAAGAACTTGGTACATGTTGCACGTTAAGCTATGGTTAAAGTTCAACAAAGCTTTGAAAACCACCTTCCTATTTAATTAATAGCCAATAAAAAATGACAGCTGACGCTGCCAAGGAATGGATCCTAACGGAAAAACATTTATTTTGTTTGGGCATGCATTTTATATAGTATGAAATTGTGTCGTTTTTGTAATTCGATTCCATGCTCTGTATTTGGTAATTGGAAATTAGAACACACACCAGACTAGACCAGGGTACATACCTACTTTTGAATATGTCCAGCGTGATACGGATCTTCATAAAACATAGAAAATATCGAGAAAGGAAGCAACAGGCTTTCAACCTTGGTATTACCTACATGCGACTGAACATAGGTGCCCAGATTATCTACAGTAGTGTTTATCGAATCTATTGATCGATGAAACGAATCATTTTCTTTGAAGGATCTTGTCGTTATTGTTATTTTATGTTACGATCAAAAGGAACATACTTTCTCCGTTTGTTTTTTTGGTCTTCATCCCTATAATTAGTTCAGGAAAGTGAATACTATAGGTGAGTTTTAGTTTTGTTTCCGAGCCGACTCCACTCCCAGCTAGCTCATGTCATGTCGATCTCCCCTTTATAGAAACAACTATTCCTTCCTTCTATTTTGTTTTTTATTCCTCTATCTATCATGGAGCTCAAAATAAAATCACAATTAAACACAATATTTGGGCTAATTCTTTATGATTCATTTGAGCCTAGTGCTAATCTCATTTTGAATACTGTAAGAACTAAGAGTGTATAACTTGCTATACTTTCATTAAGGATTGTGAAAATCACTTCCACCTTCGACGAAACATCTCTTCTATTTTTCCTTGCCGTCTTCTTAAGACGCAAGTTTTTAATATTTAGGGTTCCTACTTTGTGAAATTCTCTACTGCATGAATGGCGGCTAAAATTAATATTTATTTTTACCCGTACGCAGGTGGATTTTACTGTGTACAATCTGGAATCGGTTAGCTGGATGGAAAAAGTCATCGCATCGTGCAGCAGACTCATAACTACACAAGAGAAGATACTAGAAAATTACAAATTCAAAATAAAAAGGAAAGCAAGAGAGACACGCTATCGCTATGTACAAAGTCCATAAACAGAATATGTTCATTTTTGACTTCATTACACAGGATACTAGTCTCATATCGTCATATATTCAATTCAATATTTCCGTACATATTAGAAGAAACTCCATTTCCCCCTTTCTTTTTTAAATCTCACTCCATCTGTACAAATATGATTGTCTTCGGAATATATACACCGACGCATTGTCAAGTCTTGCCGATTGCTTCAGCTGAAACTCACCGTTAATTGTGAATGCATGCGTTGACTATACCTGTTCCTGATCCTCTGTGTGTGTTTATATTATTATAAACCATCACTTCAGGCATATGTATGTATATACGTCAGCTAAATAATAACAAACAAGATATTTTGATCAACAACAGTGGCCATTGACTTATACAAGTCTACAGACTCTAAAAGCACTTCGAACCTCGGCTTCTCTGTTCACACGCAGTTTCCTATTCCCTTACCATAAATCTTAATCGGTGTTCATCACTATTATTTTGAGATAATTAACCATTGTTACATGTAATTTCAAATAATTGGCATCAATATTATGATAACGCAAAATAACAATACTTGACATCAACATGCAACACGGATATGCTATACGCTATACGCAAGTGAGTCGTCTCTGAGGTTGTGCCACCGCACAAAGCTCCTAATTCGGAAGGCTCCCAATTTATTATAAGGAGTTTTAATAAAACACTTCCAGTACTGTTCATTTTTATCGAAAAACACTTTTTTACCTTTTTCATAATACTATTCACTACACCTTTATTTGTTATTTTTCATTAAAACTAAAGTTTTTTAAGACTTTTTGTTAAATTTTCTTTTATTTTTATATTATTTTACGTATATATAAAGTATATGTCTAAAGGAGCATCAATTCATCAAATTAAGTTCTTAGCGTAAGTGTTTTTGCGCTTTTTATCTTTGTAATTCCAACTAGGTTCGAGTACCTCCTAGGGCACATCCTTTTATGTTTACTTTAAAAACAATTGTATTTAAAAGCAAGACGTTTAGGTCACTTAGTACTATGGTTTAGTAGTATTTTTCTTCACTTGTAAGTGAGAGGTTTTAGGTTCAATTCTTGCCAAAAGCGAATTTGAACCACATTATTGCAAACACTTTGTGAGGCTAAGCTCACTCCCTCCCCTTTAGTATAGATAATATCGTTTGTTCTAAAAAAAATACAAGGTGTTTTGAACCTAAAAAACATGGTAAATGCATGGAGGTACCTAGACCACACCACGTTAGTTTTATTTATTTCTTTTCCATTGTATTAATTTACACACAATAAAATAATTATAAAAAAATATATACTAACTAAAAGTTTAGACCTCAGAAGGATCTCTGTTTGAGTCTTCGAACCGAGCCCCAAAATCTTAGGGCTATGCAAGTGTTATGTATTCACAAATTATCAGTTAAGCTTGCCTGTATAAAGAACACATACAAGACATGTATTTGCATATAACTACAAATAATTCTACAAAGATCGTCTTAAATATGTTATCATTTTCTGTTAATCATATAATTATTGAAGTTAACCTAATAATTTAATGCTAGTCAGTATTACGGTTTGATACTATTTCTCTTCATTTGTAAATATGGTCTTAGGTTCGAATTTTGTGGATGACGAATTCGATACCACATTAAGTTGTCTATTGTGTGGCTTAGCCGAACTCTCCATTTTCTTTGTATAACTATAAATATATCGTTTATACTAAAAAAAAAAAAAAAAAAAAAAGCCCCTAATAACTTAATAATTAGGAACACATCGAACTCCAGAGTACGTATAATTAGGGTTTTGTTACCACCTTCGCCATGTTCCCGGGAACACGTACAAGGACGACGAACGTCAAAGACCGCGGCAATGCGGAGCACCTGGAAACGGGGAAACGGCTTTTGGGGGACGCTGCCCAGCTGTTGTGGGTCCCAACGGGACGTTGTGTCAAAATGATACGGTGCCGTGTGGCTTTGGTTTGGTTTGATTTGACCAGGCATGGCCAGGCTTCAGTTGTTGAGGTTTTGTGTTTACCTGCTCAACCATACCTAACCCCAACCGATCCCTTTGTTTCTTTCAATACGCCTCCGTGGAAGTAGTGCCAACGAATCGTTTCGTGCGAGGCCGGAGTCGGAGGAAGCATCAAGGAAGCACAAATGTACGATGCCTGAGCGGCTCAATGGACCTGGTTTTTTACACCCGTTCAACACGTACACACTGCAGCTTGACTGGTACTTCGACCCTGCCCGTCGCTTTGACTTTGTCAGTCTAAAGTCTTTAGTGCACCACTCTAAGAAATTGCTCTAATTAGAGTAATTAGGTTGGAATTAATGGTCAGGTTTAGGTTCTGTAAAACCAATTCACATGTTGTAATATGGGTTAATAGATGTAAAATTTATTCTAACACGTGATATTAGAGATACCACGCATCAATGTTTTAGTACAACATAAAATTTATTATCGTTTTGGTGTTTACCATAATTCTCATTTGGATTATTAAAACTGAATACATACTCACTTGTTCTAATTAGCCGGCTCTTCTAACTATTAAGTTTCTATCCTAAACCGGTGAAATGAAAATCCTAGGAAAAGAATTATGAACTTTTGTTTTGATGGTGATATCATGATTAATTAATCAGGTTATGACATAACGGGATTAATTAATCAGTTTATGACATAACGGGATTAATTAGAGTTCAGCAAAACTTTTTGTTGAGTTACTTGCAGCTCAATTAAAAGAAAGTTAATGGAAAATTATCAACGATTTTGGTTTTTGATATTGATTTCCTTTTCATATATGATTCTTAATATTGATTTTTTTTTCTTGATATAGTAAATTATCGACGATTTTGGTTTTCGATATTGATTTCTTTTCATGTATGATTCTTAATATTGCTTTTCTTTTTTAAAATAGTAAATTATCAATGATTTTGATTTTCGATATTGATTTCCTTTTCATATATCGTTCTTATATTAATTTTCATTCTTGATATAGTAAACTATCAACGATTTTGGTTGGATATTGAATTCCTTTTCATATATGGTTCTTAATACAAATTTTCATTTTTGGTGTAGTTCAAGGTTTTTTTTAAGATTGACCAAATTAAAAAAAGAGAAAACTTTTTTAGTGAGATTAAACGTTTCCAAAACAGATTAAACGTTTCCAAAACATTGTTTCGAAAAGAAACTTTGAGATCGAAAACGTTATTGTATTGGAGGATTTGGGGAGAGACTTTTGTTCTCACTGCCGACCGACTTGTCTTGCATCGGTGATTCCTTGATCAATCGAAATCACCAAAAACATCCACATGTCCCTCTTCTTGTTGAAACGTTGAAATATGAAATCGAACAAGAAGGTTGGGCAAGAAAGCGAAGGCAGGTGCGAAAAGAGAAACAAAAAGAAAGTATATTTTTCAAAAAAAAAAAAAGAAAACAAATACAAAAAATAAGAAGTTTCAAACCACTCTGAAAAATGGAACTTTCCCCGACAGACTACCCAACAACCCTAAAAGTCTCCACGCACCACCACCAACTCTTATATTTACACCCCATTTCCCTCTCAACACCCCCAACTTCCTCTCACGCCCCTTGTCCGTCTTTTAGGGAAAAAGAAGTACGATCTTCTTATCAAGCTCTCAACCTTTTCCAATATCTGAATTCCCCTTCTCAAAATATATAAAACCCAGTTGAGATTTTCCCCTCAAAAGCACTATTCAGTTCTCACAACCATGGCTTCCACGCTGAGGCTTGCGGTGGTCTTCTCCATTCTGCTCTCTCTGTTCTCACAATCTTCCTACGCCCAAACGACAGCCTGCGGGAACTACAAATTCAACAACAACAAGGTCTTCACCTCCTGCACCATCCTGCCGCATCTCAGCTCCTTCCTCCATTGGAGCTTTGAACAGTCAACGGGGAAGCTCCAGATGGCCTACAGGCACACCGGCGTCTCTGCCTCCAGCTGGGTCGCGTGGGCCATTAATCCGGACCTCAGCAAAGCGTCGGCCGCCATGCCCGGCGCCCAAGCTCTTGTCGCTTGGCCGCAGTCCAGTGGGACGCCGAGGGTGTACACGTCGCCGATCCAGAGCTACTCGACCAACTTGGCGGAGGGCAACCTGACGTACGAGGTTACGAATTTGACGGCGGAGTATCTGAACAACGATGAGATGATCATATTTGCAACCTGGACTCTTCCTACCAATTCTACCACCATACTTCAAGTCTGGCAAGTGGGTCCCGTTTCGAACGGCTCTCCCGGCATTCACGACACCGTCGCCGCCAATCTTAACGCCAAGGGGACTTTGGATTTGCTTTCCGGCCAGACAGCATCCACCGGTGGTAGCAGCTCAACCACTAGAAAGAGAAACGTAAGTGAATTGACTCAATTTTTCTGTCTTTAATTCTGACCCTTAAACTGCATGTCCTGAAGTTTGTTTCTTAAACTAATTTTTGGGTTTTTATTACCAAATTTGAACAAATCTTTTGTTGTTTTCAATTAACTCACAATTTTTTTTTTTGTCAAACCATAGACTTGTTATATTAAGCGTTTGATTAGAGAGCGATAGACTTTGAACTTACGCTGCGGTGATGTAAGAACAACACTCTTTATCATCACTGTGTCAGAAGGCCAACTACAAATTCACAAATCTTTTCTTACTAAAACTTTTGATATTTTAATCAAAATAAAAGTCATAAGCAATACAGTAATTAAATATAAAATAATTTAACCCTCACAGCCAGTGACCTTATTGACCCATTTTCTCTTTCACATTTTTTTTTTTCTAAAGATAAATGTTTAATAACGAAATAGTTATACTAAAGCATTCGCTAAAGACATGAATATCCTCTTCAACAGAAAAAAGAAAAACGTTTAAAGACTGACACCAAAAATATTAGCGACAATTTTACAGTTTCCATTTTTGTAAATTTTACTATACTCAGAAATATAAATTAATCTTTTTTTATACGAAAATATATAGTTTTTAATTACGTTTATATTTTTTTTAAAGAGTACGATATTCATTTATTAGAAGAGAATAAATACAAAATAAGAGGATGGTGTGCATACAAGGGCCTAGGTAAAAATTTGCCGGAGATTTGAATCCGGACAAAAAAAAAAAAAAAAAAAGAACGTCCCGTACAAATAGCTTAAATAACTATAAATTGAATTATGAGGGGACTTTAAGGTATAGACGGATAGCACACTATAAATTATTGAAAAATATTATACTGTAAATTAATTTAAACTACCGACGAGATATTAGAACTCAAGTGGCGAAATCCGCTCTAGAGCATGTGGTTACGTACGCGTCTGCGAAAATATAAATTAATCTTTAATTTTAGTAGTTGAGGAGGATCTGCTCTCTTGTGCTAAGATTTCTTCGAATTGGTAGTCACATGTTTGGAATTAGAGTTTTAATCAAGGTCTTGACTTTAAGGTCTTTTTATTATATAATATGATTCTCTCTTTGAAATTCTCAATTGCTTTCTAGTTGCTCATTAACTTCATCAGAATTAGTCAAATCCCCTAAGTGTTTTTGGTCATTTTTGAAACAAATTACAGCGTCACGGAGTGCTGAATGCAGTGAGTTGGGGAATCTTGATGCCTTTTGGTGCCATGGTAGCAAGGTACTTGAAAGTTTTCAAGTCCGCGGACCCTGCATGGTTTTACCTTCATGCCGCTTGCCAGACCTCGGCATACGCCGTTGGCGTCGCAGGATGGGCTACCGGTATTAAACTCGGCGACGATTCTGCCGGCATCAAGTATAACACGCACAGAAACCTTGGGATCGCCCTCTTCGCTCTTGGAACACTTCAGGTAAATTCAACATTCATCTCAACCCTAACAATGTGTGTAATGTATCTTTGATCCTTGCCCTAGCATGTACTTAGTGATAGATTTGAATCTCGATGCAGGTGTTTGCTTTGCTTCTGAGACCCAACAAGGATCACAAGTTCAGATTTTACTGGAACATATACCACCACGCAACCGGGTACACTGTTATCATCCTCAGCATCGTCAACATCTTCAAAGGATTCGACATCTTGAACCCTGACGATAAGTGGAAGAAAGCATACATCGGCGTGATCATTGCTTTAGGTGTCCAAGCTGCATTGTTGGAAGCTTACACATGGTATATTGTATTGAAGAGGAAGAAGTCTGAAAAGGAAACGCAAGCTTCGAACGGTGTCAACGGCCATGGTGCTTAGGGGTCAGAGGGACGAAAAGCAGAGCGCACAGAATGGTTTCTAAGAGGTAGTTGGTGGCTCTTTCGAGTTTCTTCCTCCTCTTACGCGGCCCTTCTGAATACTTTTGTTGTTGTTGCACCCTTTTGTATATTGATGACGTGAGTGTTTGTGTACACATATGTACTGGGGGAGTTCAGGATTAGAGGTTATTCTTTGGTAAATTAGGTCTTGGGCAGTCCCTGCCTGAACTCTGTGTTAGACATGCTACCAGAGAGAGATTTAATATATTTGTTACTTACACACTTATACCTGTGTTTTCTCCTTCGACTTTGATTTAATTTTTAGGACATGATTTTCGCACTATCCTTTTCACCATCTGCACTTGTCTCTATTTTCTAAGCCCTTGGATTGAATCAATCGGAGAATCAAGGGACAAAAACCAAAGGTAAGAGTGCGGAAGTAGAAAAACAAACGGAAATTATATCCTTCGGCTTCTGTTTCTATATTCAACTTTCTGTTTTTGAGCTAAAGCATTCTCAATCATGACTTCACTTTCATATACTCCAAACATCTAATTTATTTCTGAAGCTAAGAACATACAGCAAATACGAACATTGCCAACGATATATCATCAAAATATGTTCGACAATTAATTTGGCATTTCACATGCCCTAAATACGATTTCAATGGTGTAAAGGATACTAACTTAACACCCATGTAATCAAATCAGTAATCCAATTTTATGCTTCATGGAGAGGAGGTTTAACTTGAAAGATTTCATAGAGTGAAGAAGCTGACTCATTCGGATTCTCGCAAAACCTCAACAAATGCTTCCTTAAGCAGAGGGTTTGATGCTGCTACTCTTCGAGATGTCATGTCAAGCTCCTCACCAGATCTGATGCAGAAAATTTCATCCAAGTCTCGACATAAGTAAAAATGCATAGATACGATGTTACATGCAAGTTTCAAGTTTTGTTAACAAAAAGATAGATGTTATCGATCTGTCAGTAGTGCACGCTTCAAAGAGAACTATTTATATTTCAACTCAAATTAATTCTTGAATGATCTTAAGCTGAAGATAAAGTTACTTACGGATCATAAACACACCCTCCAGCTTCTGTAACAATTACAGCACCACCTGCAACATCCCTGAGGCACACGAAAAACCAACGTCAATCACTTACCAGCTACCACTAAAATTGACAAGCATGGTAGAAAGAAGATCATACCAAGGACCCCCATAGCCGTGCATGTAAAATAGATCAAGCCTCCCACATGCTATTCCACAGAGGGCCAGTGCACAGGAGCCTCCAATGCGAATAGATCTCACCTGCTCAAAAGAGGGATTCATTTAAAATTGGGATGCCAACACAACTGAAGAACAGCATTTGAAAGTTCTGTTTCTACCTCAAAAAGTAGGCGATTAATTGTCCCTGTGGTTGCATCCACTGTTACGTTATCACGTTCTACTCCAACCTGCTCTTCCAGTACAACAACATATGAGGGTTTTTAAGATTAAGAAGTTTACACATTTATCCTTACCAATTTCTAGTCTCATCATTTAAGTAAAACGCTCGCGGTGTGCTTTATTTTACACAGGGATAGGGTAGAAAAACAACAAATCAGCCCATTTATGTATAACAATAATAAACTACCATCCATCAATCAGAGAGCTCTATACCTCAGTGACAAGGAGAGACTTCACAAGTTCAGTCTGAGATGATACTGCACTAATTCAAACATTTTAAAGCATTAAATAGGAAATTCTGTAACCACTTGGAAACAATAAAGTACATGGTTAAAAACAGAATAATCACCTTTTATAGGATTTCCATTGAGAAATGCACCTCCTCCGCGTATGCCAGTAAAGAGCTACGTATAAGTTAACACGCTTTATTCAGCTAGTATTACTTAGAGAGCAAGTTTTCATATTTCAACTCAGAAGCTATTCGCTGTAAAACTTACAATTCTAACATCTATTAGAACAAGAGTCATGGTTAACCACTGGAGTTTAAACGTTAGCGGAGATAAGAATCCTAACCTCGTCAATTATTGGATTGTAAACAACACCAACAGTAGGAATCTTTCCAATTGTAAGGCCGATTGACACACAGACAAAGGGGAATCTATAACAGCAACGAGAAGCAATCAGCACAGAGAAAATAAACAATCATCTACAACACAAGAGCGACTTTTACCCATGTACAAAGTTAATGGTTCCATCCACAGGATCAACTAGCCATGTGGGGTCATCAGTCAGCTCCGTTACACCATTAGCAGCAGTAGTCTCTTCCCCGATGAACTAAAGGTAACGCCAACTAAAATAATTCAGAGCATGTAGAGAAAAACCTGGTCTTAGGAGATACAATGATATTCTAAGCAACAATGAGGAACTTTGCTGATACATGGGGATGAAGAGTTAAACCTTATGAGTGGGGTAAAGTTGCTTGAGATGATTAAATATGAGATCTTCGCATGCCTTATCAGTTTCCGTGACCAGATCCACCTGCACTCCCCAGCAGAATTGGAAGATTAACAGAAAAATAATGTTCTGAGCTATCTCAAACCATATAATATAAATTTCTCCATTCGAATTCTAACTGCAGCTGCCACAGGCGAAAAGATATTCGAAATTCTTTCACTAACATGCCTTCGATGCTTGTCAAGTAATCAAATTTTAAATCATTCTCTTAAAAAAAATTATACTAACATTGAATCAGCAATTATACTTCTAAGATCCAATTGCCAAACACCCATTTGATTTAACAATTAATAAAAAACAAGAAAAACAAATCAAAAGACCTGGCCTTTGTACTCCACATGCTTGGTCTCGTAGAACCCTTTTCGAATTATCTGCAATGAAATCATATAGCACACAGATTGCACACTTTGTTTCAATTACTGCTGAGTAAAAATTAGATAAAAACAAAAATTAGTTAAAGGAGCGGAGGGGACTAACCTGGCCGGCTTTCTTGGCTGCATCAACGGCGGAGGAGAGGAACTGAGCAAGCGAATCTACGACCCACCACCAGAAATTATGCAAAACAGATTGCAAATTAATTTTATATGAAAAAAAAATGACAGAAATTGGAGATTTTATTAGAATTTAAACGAAATGGTGAGAATCTACCATTTGCCGCCATTATTAACGGTCTGGTGAGAGAAGGAAATGCAGATTGAGTAATAGTCGGAGATGCTAACGAGTACTGTCGACGATGGATTTGCGTTCAGATTGTAGTGTTGGAGCCTTCACGTAGCACATGAAGCTAACAGGTGGACTGAGACTGATTAAATAATTAAACTAAATATATAGGCGATTCATTTATCGCATAAAGTATAATGCCAATGCTATTCGTTCATCGCATAAAGTATGATGCCGACATCAATAATACGGCGTGGAATGGTATATCATGTGTTATTATATAAATAATAGAATATATATACTAAAATGTTAATAATTTAGAAAATAAAATTGCCCATCATTTCTACTAAAAACACATAATGTATTATTTATGTTCCGATTACAATAAAAAATCTCTCCTGATTACCACGAGGATACTAGGTTTAAGTACTCTATTGCGCTCAAAGATCTATCGAATCTTGTCGTTTTTCAAAAGTCATGTTGACCCAGTTCGTGTCGTGAGACGTGTGAATATATCACAGGGCCAGGTCCAAAGTGAATTGATAATTATTTTTATTTTTAAGTGAAATTTAGAAAAAGGCGATAGAGTAAATATGCCGTATTCCTTATGGTTAGGTAAGTATAGTCATTTGATGGGGCAGATTCGTAGAATATGCCAATATGCTGTGTTCGATGTTCATTGTTCATATTTCTCGTAAGGACAGCATATGATTTTTTTGGATAACAAGTCAAGGGTATCCTTTTTTTTTTAAGGATCGAGAAGACTTACAGATGTATTTTAACTTTCTTTAACCACAATCTGACTTTCACACCACCAATAGGTTTTGAACTCGGGACCTTTAGTTTTTAGTTTTAAGAAAGCATCGTAATCCACTATTTACCATTATGCCACCAGCTTGTGGTTAAGAACATCATATGATTGGAATGTGGAGCAAGTGCGTGCCAGTGCCAGTGCCACCTTGAGAAACCCTATTCCCAAATCAGACACCAGAAAATGACCATTCTATTCTCATCGGGAGAAAATGATACGATGCTTTGATCATGAGGAACCTCTAATCTGTTTTTAGATTAACTGCGGAATTGAACACGCAATGTTTATGAAAAGTTCAAACGCGAGTCTCTTCTTCGGTCGGTCTAGAAGCCAACTATGCGCAAGGTATGCGTCCATTAAATAATATGGCACTAGTGCGACACTTGGGGCCAATTTGAATACATTACAAGCATGCGTGCTGCTCAACCGTTTTAAACATTTGCATCACCCAAGTACAGCAACATCAAACATTTTACCAATTTATTTATCTACCTTTTACAAAAGTATAATTTAGAAACTACACATGAACAAGGAACAAGGGGGATGAGGCTCCTTCAAAAAATTAAATAGCGTCAAACAAACACAAAGAACCATGAAAACTCTAAAACTCACAAATAGAACAAGAAACTCAACATTCCACATGCAAGACAAGTTCCTTCATGAGTCTTTGGGTTCCATGGCAGCTATTTCTCTCACTACTTGAGCTTTGTCTGCCTCAAATTGTTCATCCTCTGCAACAAAACATTTGAAAAAATGTAACCAAAGTGCCAAACTACTAACAACAAACTCTAAATAAAAACTCGCACCTACCTTTATCTATCTTAAAATCAGCAAACAGCCGTAAAAGCTTGCTTCTATTGGCAACAAGTATGCTCACAATGTCGGCGGGTTTATTTTGATTAGCAGCAAACAACTGCAAAAACTAAAACATATTAACGAGAAGAGCTAAAGAGTAACCCTGAACATTAACAAATCAAATTTTGGTAATCAAACCTTGAAGACATGAAATGCTTCAATCTGAATGCTCTTGCTTGATTCCTGCAGATAGAAACCCCAAAATTATGCATGTAAGAACTAGGTATACCAAATGCAACGCAAATTGTAATTTCAAAGGCTTGCACTAATACATATTGTGCATGTAAGAAATAGGTATACCAAATGCAAAGCAAATGGTAATTTCAAAGGCTTGCACTAAAACATATTATGCAAGTAAAAGCATATCATACTATTCAATGGCCTGGAACAAGAGGGGAGGGGGAAGTTCATGGAAATCAGCAATAATCAATAAAGGAGGTATATCATACTCTGAGAAGATTCATAAGGATCCTCAAGTTGTCCCTTGAGCTCACATATCGAGTCATCACAGCTGAGTTTGACCGATCCAACAAAATATCTCCTAACAACTGTAATTAATAAACAAGCATCTTCAGCAAACATCATAAGAGCATCTCAGCAAACGTCACAAGAAGCATGTAGCCTATTTCAAAAACGTCCAAAGCATGCAGCCTATTTCAAAAATGTGATGAAACAAGAGTATACGAGGTACTTCAACAAGCACATCAAGGTCATGCAATATACTCTTTACGAGAGTTATTTGTGGTCAAATATTTATCATACCTTGACAGCTTGTCGTCTGGTAATATAATTGGAGGATTCCAGTAGCTTTGAGTTATACTCCGCAAAAAACTGTCATAAAGATAGAAATATCAAGTTTCGGTTAATTTGCATATAATACTTGTATGCCTCTTTTCCAGTTCTTATTTTCTTCACTTGAAGTAATTCTAATGGAAATATTCAGTAACTGTTGATGCATGTTTCTTACTGCTCACATGCATGTGTTCCATAGAAAGTAACCCTCACCCAATCATAGTTCTTGGAAAGAAAATCTGCTACAGTGGATTTGTGCCTCGTCAAGAGTTCCTACAGAGAGATGTTACAAAAATCAGAATGATTCTAGTACAACTGCAACCAGACAAGTACATGAGTCGAATAAATGGCTTTAAGAACAAGAAATATTTATAATGAAAAAGAAATTAAAAAAATTGCTCTATATAGATCAGCAAACCACACAAAATCTGTATCAGGCTTTGAGGTTTCAGATAGGAACATTGTTGACCATAATTGCACTATTGGAAAAATCTACTATCATACAGGGAAGCAGACAGTGTATTCAATATTCCCACATGCATGAAGGTCAAAGCATTATTGGCTAAACAACAAATGAATCATGAATCATTTTGAGTGTTTAGTTTATCCAAAGGCATGCAACAATGTTCATTAAACTCTAAAAGTGTTAATTTTTATGAAAACAAACACATGACCATACTGTGAGACTAACTCAACCTTAAAAGTTGCAGCAGCATCTGCAGCAATATCAAAATTGGGGAGCTGTATATAATCAAAAAACTTCTTCATGTGTTGTGATTCCAAAACATATCTGCAAACAAAACAGATCAGTTCAATAAGCAATTACGTACGAAAATAGTTGATATACAACTGAGGTGAACAAAAGCAATGAGTTTTAGCCACTAAATGATACAAATGATAAACAACCTCAGATCCCACTTCTTAATAACATCTTGCACATAGTCAAATTGAAATTTAACAAATGAGCCAGATTCAGTTTGCTCACCTTGCAACACTTTGGTGACGTATGCACTCCCTCAACATTGCACCATAATGTAGAGCCATGTCAGTGTTTCCATATCTACAAAATGAGGACTTTAACAATGAGATGCCTAATAATAATATAATCAATATAAGACGATATACTTTTTGAAACACCCCACCTTCAACCCTTTTTCATATAATTCAAGAATACAAATTTTGAAAAAAAAAGAACAGAGATCAAGACCATTTTCTAACTTGAAGAGTCATTTACAAAGAACATAATAATTGACGTGTTTTCAACATATTGAGCCGCAAAAAAAATTTGAAAATGTAACTCAGAACCCCAAAGCATTAAAGACTTTAATGAATCAGCTTGTTTATGAAAAGGTTCAAAGAATCATTGCACATTGACGTGAACCAAACATACTAGACATATGCTATCAATAACGAGTGTAAGAAACAAAAAGGAACAGTGCAACATAATAACAGTAAGTGTCCAAGGTACTTGGCAATAGTGGCTTACCCTTGGATCAAAATATCCATCAAATCAATGTTCGCTACCAAGTAATCACATGCAATCAGCTTAGACTGAACTTGTTGCCTCTGCAAGTTTGCAACCACTTGAGTGGCATCTTTTCGAGCCTGCGCAAAGTAAACCGAGAATGGAGAACAAGAGATTCAACATAAGGATTCAACAAAAGGCAGACAAAACAATATAAAGTGAAGGAACAAAGGCATCGAAAGCTTACCTCCAAGTTCAATTTCGGAAGACATGTAATAAGAAGTCGAAGTGTGTTCTCTTTAAAAAACTCCTGAGTCAACTGCGCACATGCTTCTGAGACGGGTTCAGACTCGCTATTTCCATAGAGAATCGACTTCAGCTCCCTGATGTTTTTACAGAGCTCTGACATCTGCTCATTCACAAAACCCCAACACAAATAAACTTCGATGCCCAAGACATACAAACACAAAACACTATCGAAGAAGAAGTAACTAGAATGAACGATCACAATTTGCATTTGAAAAAACTAATTAAACTGAAGAATTCACAAACTAATTTAACAATTTCAGATTTCAAAATCGCCAATTTCAATGAAATCCGTACGAACAAAAAACTTCAAAAATATAAACTTTGATCTTGAACCGATCCCAATTTTCTCAATGTTTTCAGATAATAGAATATAGAAGCAAGGAAGAATATGATCAAAATTTCAATCGGATGGAATTGAATCGATTTTGATTGACAGAATCAATAACGGAAGGAAAATAGGTACTTTTTCCTCGCGTTTGCTTTCACGAGAATCGGGAGCGCGCTGAGCATAGACGAGGAGATCTCGGGTCTGCCGAACTATGTCGGCGGGGGTTCTGGGCTTGGACTTGAACAGCCCCTTCATCTTGTTGCTGTTGGCGCTTTGGCTGCGACGGGGCAGTTTATCCTGCTGATGGTGGTTTTGCTGTCGATGCCGCTGCGGCGGTTGCGGTGGTGGCTGAGCAGAAAGCCTCGGGTCCGTCAGAAGAAGGCTGGAGGAGGCTCTCCGCTGCTCCCCACCTTGGTTAGATGTACAGATTCCAATTTTTGTTTGGGTCGGTCGTGGAGTTTAGGTTAGTTCTGACGGTTCCTTAATCGTGTTTTTCCCTTTCCCCAAATTACTCCCAACCCAATTTAGCCTCTCACCGATCAATCTACTAATTCTCTTTTATTAGTGGGGAATGCATAATTAAATTTTTTTAATTTATATTTATTTTCTGTTAAAATCATTTTGTTTATTTTTAAGAAGATCGAAAATAATAATGTAAAAATTTATCCTGCGGATTGGGTAAATCCTTATCCCACAGACGGGTGGCCGTTACTTCAATGGATTCTGGATAAACAGATTGGCAGAGAGGCTCTTTGGTGGGGGCATCTGCACGGAAAAGGACAAAAGCATAATTTCCCTAATTTTTATAGGCTGCATGAAACAAGATAGAAAATCTTAGGTCCATACCTAGTTATATTAAAGGAAAAATGATCATATCCGGATTCTTTTTTTTTAATTCATCAAATGGGAAATTGTATCGTTCAAATTTGATAACAAGGGTCCACGTTAAAAGTTATAATAACTTCAGCTGTTTGATCAAATTTCAACGTTACAGATTCTCTGATATGGTGGATTAAGAAGAAGAGATCCGGAGATGATCCATTTCCATAATGTTTGAAAATATATTTAAAATGACTAAAAGTGTTTTTGATGAAATTGATTTTGTATTTCAAAAGTGCTTTTTAAAAGAAGTACTAAATATGTGTTTCTTGTAGAAAACACTTCAAATATTTTTTAATGATTCACTTAAATTTTTACTAAAAGTTTGATTTGAAAAACTTTTTCACCAAAATCATGTTTAGTAATTTTAAAAACATTTACAAATAAGCCGTTAGATTAGATATCCTCCTTTCATTTCTATCTTTGATTTGTTGGAGGGATATTCTTTTTTTTATGTCAATTTGTTGAAGGTATACAGTATGAGATTCTAAGGAATGTGAGGTTGGTGTTAGAGCGATAAGGTAAAGGTTCCCAAAACAAAAGTGCAAGGACATATAAAATAACCATTTATGAAATCATCAATTTCACTTTTTTTTTTTCCTCTTCAGACAAAGGTAAACTTATTATCAAACCAGCAAATTACAACATTAACTCAACATAGAGAGATGGACCTCCAAATCAAACTAAAACAGAGCTCAAAACAAAAAAATAACCAGAGAAACAAAAAACCCTAATACCGCTGAAATACTGAATCCTAAAGAAGAGGCAGAAGGCTCTACGTGAGATTTGTAGAGGATGGTTTACAAGACTAGAAACATATTATGAAATCATCCAATTTCTTTTACCTACTAACTTCACGAAAGACCAATAACTCCTTTATCGAATGTTCCACATTATCCCACACAATAGTCACATAATTTGACGTGAGGGTAGGCGACTCCTCATCTCTGACCGCAATGGGAAGCCAATAGTGAATGTTAAGTGCATCGATAAACTTCATCCGACCCTGAAAGACGTTCTGAAATGCCAATTTCTTCTTCTCTATTTTGTTGTACTCGTTGACAGCAAACTCTGCGACCTCTTTCACATATGCGTCGCTGATGTTCTTGATCGGCTGCCAATCACCGCCTTGGGCTGTGACCAAGGGAGGAAAGAGGAGGCAAAAGATCAGTGTTGCAATTGCCAGGATACTATATAATCTGGTCATTTTTTGGAATGAAGAGACGCATTGAGAGTGCAATAGAATTTATAGTGAATTTCGTTCTTGAATTTTGTGGTGGTGTTATTATGGCGTTAAAACACTTTCCTTTCTAATGATCCATTTCCGCTTTTATCCAGATTGAGGCGATTATAACAGTTCCAAAATTGTTTTTCCTATTTAATTAATTGCTAAACATGAATTTATTTCCTATGTTGAAATTACATTTTGAAAGTTGACTTGCTAAGACCGCGTATTTGAAATATGTGGGTAAACAATTTTCCCATAATTTGTAGATTCTCAATTTAAATTTATACAAATAATATTCTTATACGTGGTGGTAGGTAAACTGTTTTTTTATGTATTACTAAACTTTTTGTTATTATTGTTATATATGAGTAAATAATTGACAATAGTAATCAAGACATCAATACTTATATTTTTTATTAATATGCATCGAATTTGTAGTTAACAAACAAGTAATTAGGGGCGTTAAGACATCCAAAAAATTACAAAATGTGTGAAAGCAAATTTAATTAAAGAATTTGCTTGGGTTGGGTCAAATCTTCAACACTGATGTTGTGTGTGTGGTCTTCATGATAATTTTAGAACCCAATTCACCAAGAATACATATATGACAAAGCCAAAAAAGAATCAAGAAAATTAAGAATTGAAGATCAATTATTCCCTCGATTTATTTATTATAATGAAAGATGATAAACTTCAAGCAAACTATAGTCCAGAGTACATGATTGCATAAACACAACAATTAAAATATAAGATGATCATATTCTCCGAAACCTAGTTGGGCTTTGACAATCGATGAAATGACATCAACTGCTTAAAATGCTCCCAAGCCTTCTCCCACACAATACCCTCGTAGTCCGCGGGAGTGGCAACATCGGGATCAGCCACGGACTTGTTCTTAGCGGAAATGACAAGCCGGTAGTTGATGCCCGCCACCACCTGGCTGTCGCCCCGGACGACCCTCTCAAACGCCAACTTGTTCTGGCCTTGGGCTTGCTTGTTGTACTCCGATACCGCAAACTCTGCAATCTCTTTCACATGGGGGTCGCTGATGTTCTTTATGGGCTCCCAACCGCCGGTTATAAGGCCCCGTCGGTCCGCGGCAGCGGCCACCAAAGGAAGGAGGACGAGGGCGAGGATGAGGAGGCAGTGAGGGCGCATCGTGACCGTTGCTTTCTTTAATTTGTTTAAGTTTCTTCGACTGGCTCCACTCCACGAATGACAATTGATGACTGATGAGCTGCAATGGGGGATGGCAAGATAATATAGGTTTGGATGTGCATAACGGGCAGGAAGGTAAAGGGTTTGGCATATATGGAAGGTTAGGTATTGACTTGTGCTATCCTGGATATTACTGTCCATATTGGCTCGTGCAGGGATTTCTTTCGCCATTGCTTTCTTGATATATTTACGGCATGGTCTAATTACTAATTTGTTTTGATATTTTTCTTCATTTGTGACTCTTTACTTTTTTTAGGAATAACCGACACATTGATTGAAATCACAATTACAAAGCATCCTGGATGAGAACAATAATCAGATTGATGTTAGGCGGCCTGAAACATTAGCAATACATAATGCATACTTTGCTCATCTATGGCCACGATGAGCTTCCAACCGCCGACAAGGGTTGTGATACGGGCGGCAGCCAGAGGAAGGATGATGACGACGACGACGAGAACGAGGAGGCACTTTGGGCGCATCGTGGCCGTCGATTAAAATTTTTCGTGACTGACAACATAAAGTCCACAAGGGACGAGTGAAGTGATGGGCATGCTGCGATGGAGGATGGCATGGTTGGATGTATGGACGTTGTTGGGTAAAGGATTTGTCTGTATGCTTGTAGAAATAGGAGAAATAAAATTAAAAAACTAATAAGGAATCATTTTTGGCTGTGTATGCATTACACGTATGGGAAAAACAAACTTCTTTTTCCTTGTTTTTCATTTACATAAAAATAGGATATAATTAATTGTTTGGAGAGTAATATTATTCATACCATTTTTTTATACCATATTTCTATCCCATCTTAGGTGACATCTGATGTGGACAACCATATCATTAAAAAATTTGCAAAACCCAAGGAAATGAAGGAGAAAGATTCCTCGTATACCACAATCATCATTTAATTAACTAGTTTTTTTTAATTATTAGTTTATTAAATAATGAGCTAAATTAAAAAATCTTATTAATTCAAATTATGTGGTTGTCCACATCAAATGTCACCTAAGATTGTATGAAAATGTGGTACAAAAATATGGTATTCGAGAATAGCCATATTATTCGAGGATATCCATCTTTGGCAATCTTGGCACGACGAGTCACTTTTTCTTTAATTCAAGAAAAATAAGGATTGAAGATCAACCATTCAAATTGCTCTAATTATTGATACCCTTATAATAATATATAAAGGGTGATAAACTTCAAGCAATCTTTAAAACTAGTTAGTTTTTTTTCGAACGATGAAAGTAGACCAATTCCTTGTGATGCTCCCTGTCATAGACGAAGACCTCATAATTATTTGCGGCAGCGGTGCCGATGACCCTGGTGGGATTTGCCACCGACGACTCATTTTTGGCCGAAATGACAAGCTTATAGTTCGTGCCCGCAACGAGTTGCGTCTCACCCCGGAGCACCGTCTCAAACACCAACTTGTTCTGAGCCTTTGCTTGCTTCGTGTTGTACTCCGACACAGCGAACTCTGCGGCCTCTCGCACCACGGGGTTGCTGACGTCCTCAATGGGCTTCCAACCGCCGATCTGGACTGTGCTGGTGGCGGCGGCCAGAGGAAGGATGAGGGCAACAAGAAGGAGGAGGCACTGAGGGCGCATGGTGACCATTGATTTAACTTCTCTTTGACTGACTGACACAGTTGCACTCCACAAGTGACGAGTGATGGCATGCATGCAATGGAGGAGGGCAGTTAGGAATATATAACTTTGTTAGGTGGAGGATTTTGTCTGTATGCTAGCGGAAACAGAAAAAAAAATATTAAAAAAAAGTCAAGTGATTGGGAATGAATTTTAGACCCGTATTTCACACAACATATTTTGGATTCAATTTCTAGAGTGGGTAAATCACAAAATAGTGGTCGGAAAAAACAAAATGTATCTGTGAATCTTCACAACTATAAAAAGGTGACTTGTGTGGCAAATCCACCAACTAATCCCTTAAAAAAAAAAAAAAAAAAAAAAAAGATAGAAACAAATTTTCCTTTGTCTATTTTTAATAGGGAACTTTAACAAAAAAAAATTATCGGTACTGTTTATTTTAACGAAAAATCATATTTTTACACTAAAAAATCAATCTTGATACTATTCATTTCACCCTTTATTCTATCTTTATTCTTAAAACTCAAAATTTTCAAACTTTTTCATTACTTTCCCTTTTTAATATACAATCCGGGAGTCTATAACTCTATGAGACATTTTATTCCCGTGACTCTAATTAACTGAGAGTCAATCGCTTTCATGGCCTACGTGTCTACTGCTTAAAAAGTTAAGCCAAAAGTCACGATTCTGTAGTGTTCAGTGTGACACAAAATCATCGATAGTTTTGTGTTATAATTTTGTCACTTATTTTCCTAACAAGTTTTCTACGACAACAAAAACTGTAAACACCAAGCATCTTTTATCACTTTGACAAAAATAAATAAATAACTAACGAAAAGTTGGAAAAAAAAATTTAGTTGCGATGAAAAATGATAAATAAAGATGTAGTGAACAATACTAGAGAAAGGTAAAAATGTGGTTTTTCGTTAAAAATGAACAGTAACATGAATGTTTCAATAAAACTCCCAAAAAAAAAACATATTTTATCACAATATATCAACGAACTATAAATATATAAATAATCGAATTAAATTACATCAATAATATAACAAAAAAATACTACTCTTACCACATTTTTCATAAGGAACTTTAACGAAAAATCACATTTTTACACTAAAAAGTCAATCCTGGTACTATTTACTTTACCCTTTATTTTGTCATTATCGTTAAAACTCAAAGTTTTCAAACCCTCACTACTACAAAATAGATTTATTGTGTCACTGGGTGATGTTGCTTTAATATAATATAGTGGCATACAAGACATTTGCGACACCTAATGACGTCGGATTTACTGTCGCTTGTAAGCGTCATAACCTGTCTATGTCGCTTTTAACCGACGTAAACATTTAATGTCGCTTATAACCGACATACATTTAATAATTTTTAAATAATGGTGTCGCTTTAAAAAAAATAGTGTCACTTTTAAGAGACATAAAGTATTGATGTCGTTTCGATCTGACACTAATTATTGTTTTTAAATATTTTTAAGCCTGCATCGGTTCTGAGCGACATAGATTTTATTTTTTTTTAATTTTGAAACCCGGTGTCGGTTGTAAGCGATAGATTGATGGTCTTTATATGTTATCCCCCATGTTTTCTTCTTCCTCTCTTTCATCTTTCTTAAGGATGAGTTTATGAGGTGACATGCAACTAGGCTTGGCAAATGGATCGCGTCTATCGTTTTCGTGTAACGCCTATTATCTTAACGGATCTTGTCGTGTCTCACCCATTATCTTAACGGGTCGTTAACAGACGACCCGTTATGACCCATTAAGAAAAATATAATTTTTTTTCTTAAATTTGCACATACCACACATTGCCACATAAATATTACTTCAAAACATTAAAACACATTTGTCGTTTAAGTACTACATCTACACTCGAAAATAAGAGCCTAATAAACAAACATTCATACACTACTACTCTATTACAAAATGTTAAATGTACAAGGATATGCAAAATGAAGGAGTTTTTGTTTTCAAGGTTATGAAGCCTTTCTCAAAAGTTTAAACCTTGCCAATGGAATTCAAAGCTTGCATGTTACTCCTTATACAAAATCCTCAATTTTTATCAATCATTATGACATAAGATTTTGTGGTATCCACTTCTGTAAATATTTTAAATTGACAATCAAATTAGTTTATTGTATTCATATAGGATCAAGGAGTGTAGCTGTAAAAAATCATCAAAATCGGAGTTAAAATAACCATTAAATCGCAATTTTTCAGTTTATAACCGTCGAAAAGTTTTGTCTCGTTACTTGATCTCTGAATGTTTTTTTTTCAATTTTTGGCGTATGCGATCTCGAAGCATATATAAACAAGTTTGACAGTTGGATCGTGGAAATTAGTTTCGTATGATGCGTATCCCATCAAAACGATAGATTCACTAACACTTAAAGTTTATTTACACTTTCATTAAGTATAACATAAGATTTTATGGTATCCACTGGTGTAAATATTTTAAATTGAAGATCGAATTCATTCATTGTATTCATATAGGGTCAATGAGTGTAGCTGTAAAAAATCATCAAAATTGGAGTTAAAATAACCGTTAAATCGTAATTTTTTGTTTATAACCGTCGAAAAGTTTTGTCTCGTTACTTGATTTTTGAATGTTTATTTTTTGTGATTTTTGGCGTATGCGATCTCGAAGTATATATAAACAAGTTTAACAGTTAGATCTTTGAAATTAGTTTCGTAGAATGCGTATCCCATCAAAACGATAGATTCACTAACACTTAGAGTTTATTTATACTTTCATTAAGTATAACATAAAATTTTGTTGTATCCACTAGTGTAAATATTTTAAATTGAAGATTGAATTCATTCTTTGTATTCATATAGGGTCAAGGAGTGTAGCTATAAAAAATCACCAAAATCGAAGTTAAAATAACCGTTAAATCGTAATTTTTCGTTTATAACCGTCGAAAAGTTTTGTCCCGTTACTTGATTTCTGAATGTTTATTTTTTGCGACTTTTGGCGTATGCGATCTCGAAGCATATATAAACAAGTTTGACGGTTCGATCGCTGAAATTAGTTTCGTAGAATGCGTATCCCATCAAAATGATAGATTCACTAGCACTTGGAGTTCATTTATACTTTCATTAAGTATAACATAAGATTTTGTGGTATCACTAGTGTAAATATTTTAAATTGAAGATTGAATTCATTCATTGTATTCATATAGGGTCAATGAGTGTAGTTGTAAAAAATCATCAAAATCGGAGTTAAAATAACTGTTAAATCGTAGTTTTTCATTTATAATTGTCGAAAAGTTTTGTCCCGTTATTTTATCTCTGAATGTTAGTTTTTTGTGATTTTTGCCGTATGCAATCTCGAAGCATATATAAACAAGTTTGACGGTTGGATCGTTGAAATTAGTTTCGTAGAATGCGTATCCCATCAAAATGATAGGTTCACTAACACTTAGAGTTCATTTACACTTTCATTAAGTATAACATAAGATTTTGTGGTATCCATTAGTGTAAATATTTTAAATTGAAGATCGAATTCATTCATTGTATTCATGTAGGATCAAAGAGTGTAGCTATAAAAAATAATCAAAATTGGAGTTAAAATAACCGTTAAATCGTGATTTTTCGTTTATAACGTCGAAAAAGTTTTGTCCCGTTACTTGATCTCTGAATGTTTGTTTTTGTGATTTTTGGCGTATGAGATTTTGAAGCATATACAAACAAGTTTGACGGTTTGATTGTCGAAATTAGCTTTGTAGAATTCGTATCCCATAAAGTTCAATGATGTGTGTGTATATATATATATATATTTATTAAGTAGATTTAAATTTATTTATTTTGTACGTATAACACTTAAGAAATTGAATGGTATGTATATTTAAGCCGATCCAATGGTCACCAATTTTTAAAATTTAATTTAATATATATATATAATTATTATAGTATTTTTAAGGGTTATAAAATTATAAAATTAATATTTTGGATGATCGAATTCTTGATAATGAAAATTTCCATACAAGGGTTGGCGTGGAAGAGACTCATTTTCTTGAATCATTATTGTTGCCTACCAAGTTCGTTAATCATGCAAATGCCGACGACGAGCTAACAGATGATGACAAGGAATAAATATATTAATTATTTTATGTATTAATTAGACTATGTTTCAATTCGTGTGTGATGATATCTTATCACAAAATTATATTTATGTTTTTTATTAAGTATTATATATAAAATAAATTTTATTTATTAAAATATTATATGAGATAACATAACTATTTATCTTTTAATTTTGGGTTAAACTTTTTTTTTTTTTGGGCAAGAATTTTCCCGCTTGTTTCAACGCCACTTGCAATCACAGTCAAGTTTGTCAGGCTCACATTGGTTTGAACCGACACAACGTTTTCTTATTTCGGCGCAACTTGCAATCACTGTCACGTCGGTTAAACATTTTTTTTCTATTTCGACACCACTTGCCTTTCAGTAAGTGTGTCAGACTACTTGACTTAGTGTCGGTTTTAACCGATGCGAAGTCTAAATATTTTGACGCCAAGTGCGTTTCAGTCAATGTGTAAGAGAAAATAAAAAATAGAGCTCAATATATTGGGGTAACAATGCAGTCCTTATTTCTTATGTCTAAACCCTTTTCGAAAACCTGTGTTTAAGTAATTTTTTTACAAAATTTCTTCTTCATGAAATGGCTAATGGCCGGAAGGGCAATATTCCCCAGAGGGTTTCTTTCCCCCCTCCTGTGTATGGAGTGTCATCTTTCAGCAGCTCAAAAACTTCCCGTGCTACCAGTTTCAATTCACCATCTTTCACGAAACCTTCCCATACCAGTTACGGATAGCAGTTCGTCGGTATAGCTCCACTTGCTTCCAATTTTACCTATGATAATCAGGTATGCAAACTTCTCAGCTGCCACCTCTAAATACTGTTTTGATGGGTTTGTAGCGCTTTTGTGGGTTAACAGTTTATATGGTGTTGAACGGGTTTGCCTCATTTGCCTTACGAATCCTAAAGACATGGCCTTTGGTTGTTGGCATCAGGTACATTTTTGAACTATAGTTTCAAGATGAGTTGAGACTATCATATTTTTAGTACCGTGTTCTTAGTGTTATGTTTTCGGTGTAGACATGTTGCGAATGCGGACAAGATCTTCAATCGTGCCCAATATGCCGAAGTGCAATCCAAACCCGGATAAAATTGTATTAACGACGACGTGCTTCTATGCCGGAGTTGGCTGACATTGTGTGTATTTGTTTATTTTTTCAATCACATTCTTTGTAATCCATTGCTTCAGGCGGTCAAGAGGTTACTAGGTTTGGTAAATAGTTGGTCAAATCCAGCATATGGTGATGATAATCTAGATGTGAGTGAATATTCTGGTGATTTTTTTGGTTGTTTAAGAAGAAAATGAAAAAGAAGTGAAGAGTTGGCCTCAAAATAAGTGAAGTTCTAGTGATTTTATGGACGACAACAACATAATTATTTTATTTATGGAGATGTTAGGTAATGTCAGTTACGACCGACAGTAGATCAACTATTTTATTTATTTAACTTACGTGATGTCGGTTTGGACCGACAGTAAGTGTGATATTTTTATTGTTTATTTGTTACATAATGTCGATTTTGACTACCATCATATCATATTTTCAAGTCGCTTAAAAGTGACGTAAGAGCCAATGTTGCTTTTAAGCGACGATGTTGTTCATTTTTATTTTATATTACTTTGCTTCTTGGTGGCGGATTAAGGGGGTTAAGCAACGTCATTACCCTTTTGGTGACGGTAGTATTGCTGTCGGTTCCTCTATCTGACATTGCACGATTTAATGTCGGTTTTACACCGCCAATGATATCCCTTTTTGTAGTAGTGCCTTTTCATTAGTTTTCATTTTTTTCATATCACATTTTGTATAATCTTTTTAATAAAGATAAGACTCATATATGTCGGTGAGTCCTATCTATATTATAAATAGGATACAAATATGATATAAAAATGTGGTAAATGTAGCATTACTCATAATATAAACAGCACATCGACGACGATTATGTTATCCAAAATTGTGTCAACAATAATATAATCCTCGTCGGCAATGGTGTAGCCATGTTAAGGGCTACACTGGGCTATAGCCCAGGTAGCTTTCCATAAAAAATGAAAACCTTACATGTAATTTTTATTGATTTTTGAAAGTAGCCCATCATATATTTAGTCACTAATCCTAATTCTCTTGATTTAATCATATAAAATTATATAATACAGTTTACAAACCATCTTTTAAGTTAGTGGATACTGTGAAAAATACAGTGTTAAGTTTATTTGTTTATATAGATTTAAACTTTAAGCTGGCCCATCCAGTGAAAATTTTCTAATTCCGTCATTGATCGTCAGTCTGTATATTAGGTAGAAGTGCCGTAATTTTAGGAAGAAAAAATAGCCATATATATATATACTTGCATTATTTAGAATTTCAATAAGATACTTTTAAGTCAATGGGGTTAGTGAATGGAAGACAAGGTCTCTAGAGAGTTTTTTCTTCTTTTTTTTTTGGATGTGGCCAAGTTTTAACTATCTTTTTTCTCCCGTGACAAGAAATGCAAACTAGTAAATGACAGATTTCTCAAATCGAATGAATTTCCGGGCAAACTAACAAAATTATCATATGTAATATAATATGGCTGCAATCAAGGTACACACAAAGCTTTCTACCAAACAAGGAATGAAGAGAGAAGTAATATGTTGCCCTTTGGTCGCTTTCTTTCCTTTTTTTCTCATGTATCGGTACGCTTGCAATGTGACTATATATACACGTGAAGCTCCTCTTTGCCAATTACCAAGAGCGAATATTTGTATCATCTTGTTGTCTAAAGTCACTGAACTGCAGGTTCATTTGTCCCAAATACATAAGCTCCTGCAGTGCCAAAAATTATAATGAATACGAATAACATAATTGTTTTATTAATAAAGAACGGATGTTATCGAAATCCTGAAAATATATCAATAACATGTCCATACTGTTTAGCAACAATGATTTTGACATGTTGTCGGCGTCATGTAGGAGTAATTTACGCAAATTAGTCAAAAAATAAAGTTACCTAGTGTGGGCATCAGAAGGGATAGCACAACAGTTCCAGCAATCTTCAGTGGCAATCCAGTCTTAATCATGTCTTGAATTTCAATGTGGCCAGTGGTAAACCCTACAATATTCGAAGGGGTCCCGGTCGGAAGCAAGAAAGAAAACTGTGCTCCAATAGCTCCTGGAATCATAAGGAGGAGTGGATGCACATGCATGCTTTTGGCTATTTGAATCAAAAGAGGGACAACAAGAGTGGTGGTGGCATTGTTTGATGTGAACTCAGTGATGGTACTGCTTATGAGACACACAGCCGGCGCAATGGCGATATATGGGACAGCCTCCATGAAATCTAGGGCTTTCGATAAAATGTCTGCAAGGCCGCTAGTTCGGACCCCGTCGGCGATGGCAAAACCAGCACCTAATAACAATATGATGTTCCATGGTAGCTTCTTGCATTTGTTCCAGTCCATCAACTTCTCTCCCTCTTGCTTTTTGTTTGGAATTATGAACAGCAAAGTTGCCATCATAACCTACATATATATCAATTCCAACTTTAATTCAATCAAATTACACTTCCCTAAACTCCAAACTCTGATTAATCCAATTTAATTAGAAGGGTAAATACTCACACTGACAGTTCCATCACCAGCACGCCCATTGAAGAGGGATCCCCACCCAGGAATATCATCTGTTATGCTCCTTGTCATCCACAAAACTATCAGCATCTGCACAAAAATATTCTTGTCATATTTGGATAGTGATTAACACACACAATTTTTGGTTTATTGAAAAATGGTAAAATATTTAGCTTAAAGTGCAAGCAGCTAAAGGAGAAGCCCCAAAATTGCACCGCAAAGTTAAGTATTGGATTGACAACGTACCGAAAACACAGACAGTACCACCTTCTCAGCAAAAGCCATTGGACCTGTCATATCATCAACACTTATGAGCTGACATGTAAATAAAATCACGATATATTTACTTACTTGAAACAAGACAGAAAATGAATCAAAATTCAACTAATCAAGAATTAATCTAATTTCTTGTTTTATCACAGGTCCTGGTTCTTGGACTGTAATGTGGGACGCACATACATTTTAATTTCTTATGTGTTAGCAAATGCAAGAAAAGAAACCGAAAAAGTTCTAATGTACATTCCCGACAAGTAAACATGCATGTTCAATTAGAAGAAGAAAGACTAATTATGGACTTGTACCTAGCATTTCAAGCTCCCTCTTCAAGTCAGCTTTGTCCAGATAAGCAGAGAGAGCCTGGCCTGAATTCCTTGGGCAATACAAGCAACAAAGTATAACCCACAAAGCCAAGAATATCAACAAGGCCAGAGGGAACCCTAGAAAGAACCAGGTGCTGAAGCTGATGGGCTTCGCCTCTGGAAAATAGCTCTTCCACATCCCAACCAATATCAAGTTCACACCTGTCCCGGTGAGAGTGCTCATCCCTCCTATGGCCGCGGAGTATATCACCCCCAGCACCACCGCCCTGCAGAACTTGCTCACGGCAACGGACTGGTCCGGGCCCACGGGAAAGCGCTGGAGGATCCCAGTGGCCACCGGCATCATTATCATAGCTGCCGCCACGTTGTGCATCCACATGGAGACGAATGCTGTCGTGGCGCATATTCCCAGTAGGAGCAGGGGAGGGCTAAGTGGGTCTCCGCAGAAGAGCATGGTTATCTGTGGTGGTCCGCAAACGTGAGTGACTCACACTCACTCAAATAATTGAGGAATATTTTAGTACAATAATTGAGATTCTTAATAATTATCTTATGCCATGATAATGACTAATACTTATTCAAGAGAAGCTACGGAATTTAAAGCATGTGTTATGAATTATTTTCATCCAAAAACAAACAAATCCATGCGGATAACTTAATGAAGTTTTAACGAAATATTTTTGGTACGGTTCATTTTTAACAAAAATGATATTTTTACTCTAAAAATTTATTCTGGTACTATTCACTTACAACACATTTTTGTTCTTTTAATTAAAATTCAAAATTTTCAAGTTATTTTCATTAGTTTTCCTAGGTGGTGAAAAGTTGTGGGAGTCAAGCATAAATTCCTCACTTACAAATGAAAAGATGATAGTGCTAATAAATTTGCATACATAATTTAAAGTAACACTAAATTAATTTTAATTACAAAAATAAAATTTTAAATAGTAATATAGAGAAAAAACGCCGGTTTAATTAACTTGACTAAGCCTGAGTCCAGTTTAGACTTTGGACTAAAATAACAATATAAGCACAAACGTAGTACTAAGAGTTTTTTCCACATATGAATACTTGGATATATATATATATATACATATACATACATAATACAGCTCACACAGCATTATACAATATGTACAAAAAGCTTTTAAATCTCCCCATTTTTGCGAAATATTTGCAGTTTATGTTAGGGTAGTGCTATCTACATATTTATTTTTTTACTTTTCACATAACTCTTTCAAAATTTGGTTATCGGATTGAATGAATTGAAGAAGATCATCGATAAAAATTAACAAGAAGTGTGTGCAACATAAAAATGATTGTGTGAGTATCATTTTCTTTTATGGTATAGTACACTCAAAGAGAGCGTATTAAGAACATAAACCTCACATTGAGAGTGTTATTCCATTCACTAATGAAAATGTTACTCATATTACGTTCTTCATACAATATTTATACCATCTTTTCTAACAGATGCATAACCCACATGTATTGATGGCCCTACCTTTATCAAAGAGATGGTATAAATATAATATGAAAAATGTGATAAATGCAGTATTATTCTTAATATGGGTTAATTATGAATTATGAAATAAAAAAACATAGTAGCTAGAGAAACTCACATTCAAGGCCAATCTTCTGTGGATGTTATAATGCTCAACAGCAATAGCCAATATAAAGGTTCCAAGAACAAGGGCAATAACATCATCCATGTAAGATTGAGCAACATCATCAGCAGAGGATATTCCAAAGAGAGGGAAGAGAAAGAGTGGGGACATGGAGGTAATTGGCATGGGCACGGCCTCCGTGAGCCACCAAGCAAACACCCACACCAGCACCGCCAACATGTTCCGGCTGGCCACCCGGCCATCTAGCTTCACACAGAGGCATATGATGGTGCACAGAAGAGGTCCCAGGAGGACGAAGAAGTTCTTGAGTGTTAGAAGGGATTTCAAGGATGAATGGAAGCTCTGCGACCGTTGGATTTGATCGTGGAGAGGGAGAAGTGGAGTTTTGGGGTCGTCGGAAACTGGATGATGATCCATGTTATTGATGTTGGAATCGATTTAGGAAATGACTTGGTTAGGAAATGGTGCTTTTATACATGCTTTTGTATACAAGCAAGATTGATTGGCCAGTACAGTGTGCCGGATGCTTTTAAATTTTGAGTTTGTCTTATTTTTTTATGTATACATTTAAAAGTATAAAATTAATTAGGCTTAATTGGATTACTAGTTCCTTTGGTGGTAGAGTGGTTGGAAGATGGTCATGGGCTAAAAAAGTTAGGATTTAAGCCTCTATAGTGAAGTCCGTTAGAATTTAAGCTTTAAATTAAAATTTTCGTCAAATCTCCATTAATTGTTAACACAAGAGACTTACATGTGAAGCTAAAAACTAATCACCACAAAAACTAATAATCTAATTAGACCAATTAATTATATTACCAACAGACACTCTTTAATACTGATGTTAGATATTTAACATGTAAAATAGTATACAACTTTGCCTTTCCGTTTGTGATGTTCCATTTTGGTGTGCTAACTTAATTGATTTTGCAACCGTTGTCATAACTAATAAATTGGTTTTTTTTTATAATCTAAATTGGTTTTTGAGATTGACATAATATATCACTTTAGTTTCTCATTAATATATCAAAATTACTAATTATGTATATATCAATATTATATTTGTGTGATTTTTAAGTCATGCAATGTATCGTATCTAAACGTGATGACTCGTCACTCTACAACACAGAAGTAGTAGACAAGTTTGCCTTTCATTCTATGATGGCTTTTCATTTTGATATTGGTAATTAAAATGGATTTTGCTACTAATAAATGCCAATTATTTGCTAAGAGTCAGCAAATTTATATCCAAGACATGGAAAAGCATGACATTTTCTAATAGATGACCTGTCGTTCAAATCCAGTGGGGGCCAAGAGGCCACGAAGCAAAGCCACGTGTGCAGAAAAGGACTGCAAATTGCCACAACCATGCACTCGATAATAATGCAAGGTCCAGCCAGACCATCGTATGTATGATTGTATTATAAACCATGTGACATGTGGAATGTATGAAATATGTCGATGTCAAAAAAGGAAGAAGACACCGCGGAATTTGAATGATATGGGTTTGGTGGAGGGATAGAGAAGCTTAATCACAATTAATTTGATTATTATAATTTTTTCTTCACCTCATAATGATGTGTCTGTACACGTGGCAGGCACAAATTAATTTTCTCGCCGAAGATTAAGCTTACATACGCCACGGGAGCATCGTATTATTAGCATAATTTGATGGGGACATATCGCAAAATAATTCATATCAACCTCTAGAAGGTGGACCTTGAACCTTTGAAGTAATCTACTCCTCAAATAATAATCATAATTTAGTGGTCGATTCTGGAGTTAAGATTTTAAAAGATGTTTAACGTTAGTCAGACGGTGGATTGAAACATTTTAATGCTTAGGAGTCTAGGCAATTATTTTTAATTAATTTATTATATAACAAATAAATAAATGTTTATTATATTAAAAAAATACATAATTGTATTACGATACATAAATTGTAAAGTTGACTGACATATAAATTATATAAACTATTTGAACATACTGAAAAATATGGGGAACATATTCATCCAAGTATATACGATATATAATGAATGTTCATCAAAGTATTCAACAAGTCTTCTACAATTTGTTCAATAAATAAAATACAAAATAAAAGTTATCTATTTTTTGTCTAGGTGAGAGTTGCGGCTTAGATAGGTCTAGGCAGGCACATAGGCCAATCAAAACATCATTTCTTAATTTTCAAATGCCTAAATGACCCTAGATGAAGATTTGTAGAACAGTGAGCAGAGTAATCCTAAATTTAGTGATTTAAATAATATTTTAAGGTACAAGGGTGGGTTTTGAACTACAAAAATGTATGTGTGTCAAGATACGGATAAGAAGAAAATGAAAACACAAAGAAAGAATAAAATCCCATAATTGCCTTGTGGAGCACACATTATAGCTATCCAACTGTTGTGGTTTCTATCGAGGCGACAAAATTGCCATTCTTAGATCAATCAAACACAATCACTATGGTATGGTTAATAAAAGTGAAGTAAACCAGATAATGGCCAAGGCCTTAATGATTCTTCTCCAATTATCGATTTCACATGGGATCAGTAAATGGTAACGTGTAGGGCACCAACCAATCCTTCATGTGAGGCCATATGCATTTGGTTTTATTTTGGAATCACTGGCGAAGCCAAAAGTACAAGGCTCCCTTATGCTAGTGTTTTGAATTTTTAAGCTTCAAAATATTAATTTTTTAGTCTATTTTATGATTTTAATTGTTATATTTCACTTAGCAAATGAAAATTTTGAATCTTAAGGTTTAAATAAACTCATCACTTTAACCAATATTATAATTTAATAGTAATAAATTAAAACTTTCATCCACAATGGGCTAGCAATAATGTGGTTCAAATTCGTCTTTGGCGAAAATCGAATATAAGACCTATCATTACAAGTGAGGAGGAATACCACTAGATCGTAGTACTAAGTGGCAGTATAAATTTCTTACTTAAAATTATTACTTTCAAGTTGTATAACTTCATATACGCAACAAGTGATTAAAAATTTGATTTCAAAATAATAATATTAACTTAATCCACCCACCGAACAATTAATGCTATGCCATTGTTTGGAATAACAACTTGTTTCATTTCTCTTGTTCAAGTTTCCGTCTCACTTTCATTTCCTCTAGCCACTATCTCCACGCGTGAGTTGAACTTTGGATTCATCTGTTCGTTCACTGCGAGGGAAAGGTCGAGTAAATCGAAAAGCTCGAAAATGAGAGTGACTAGGAAGCTTCCTTCTCTGTTTTCTAGTATGCATTCCGTTGTAGGTTCAGATGATCATATTATCATCAGTCGTACAAAGACTGTTGTTGTCTGTTGTTTCAGACTTTGAGAGAGAGAGAGACAGAAAGTTTGAGAAACATTTAAACGCACACGCGCAATAGTTCAGATAATACTTGTGCAAAATTCCAGGGGCGGTTTCTCATTGGATGCCGATCAGAAGCCTCGACTCAGAAATCGTAAATATTCGGCGGTTCTTATGCTGGTGGGCAATCACAAAATATTATGTAATTCGTTGAAATCGGATGGGGAAGAAGGGGTCGAGCGAGGAGAAGGGTAGAGGTGTAAGAATACGGAAGCAAGTTGCACGCGTCGGCGGCGAAGACTGATTTTATTTAGGTTAAAAAAGGGACGGGCTTTACTTTTGTATGCCCAACAGACGAATTTAATCAGTTCCGTTTCACTACATATTTGTAGGCCCAATATTCTGTTCATAGCTAAAAATGTGAACCATAGCCCATAGATATTTTGAGGACTGTTGGCGGCGAATACATTGGTTCCTATGAGAAAACGAGGAGCTGATGATGAACATGTGGAGTCAAAGAAATGCATATAAATAAATTGACATTTTATTTAGGATAATACTTGCTTTTTCTCTTGTGATGAGTTCATTTTCCAATTGTGAACAACATAAACTTAATCGTTCAATTTATTTTTGTTTTGAAGATCATTTCAACAAAAAATAATTATTTTAATTCAAGATCGTTCAATTATTTATAGATATCAAATTAATGAATGATTTATATTGAATATGTCACTTGTTACTTCTATCGGCGATTTGTTTTAGACATTTTAATGACTAAATGATTTCCTATTAAATTTGTGTTACTCAAAATTGGAGAATGAACTCTTAGAGCACTTCCATTGTAGGAAGGCCCCCTAAGCAATAAACAACTCAATCACCTTAAATGAACAGTAACTGTCCAAGTGTATCTCCATTCCTAAACTGAATAGCCAAGGCAATTTGTATTAAAATATTAATATTTTATTTTATAAAATAATAAAAAATAACTTTAGTTTTAAATTTCGGATAATAATAAAAGATTGGTTAAAAGTATTTGAAAATATTGAAATGTAGTATAAAGTAGAAAAACATGGTTACATGTATCGATGGTGATAATTTTAGGCTCGATCAGTTGAAGAAATAACCATCGATAATTTTAGTTCTCTGAGTTGGACCCTCAAAACTCGATAATTTAAGGATCAGTTGGTATGAATGGGTCGTGAGGATGAGAGTATCTTGATGGTGATAATTTTAGGCTTGATCTATGAAGTCTAAATAGAGGAAAGAAGAGAGCTACGGTGAGGGAGAGAGAATGAGAAGATGAGAGAGAGTGAAGTGTTTTCTGATTGGCTAAAAAGAAGAGAGAGAGAGTCTGATTGGGGGAGAAAATATGGGAATAAAGTTGATTAGTAATGAAGTGTGGTACCGTTTGGTATGCAGACGGGACGAAACGGAACGGATCAAAGGTTCCACATATGTTTGGTACGCACAAGACAGAACAGGACAATTGTTCCGTTCTGTGTTTGGTACATGTTGGACGGAACGGAACGATTGCGGAGCTGCATCCGGAGGTGCAAAGAATGCGGAGCTTCTAGAGCTGAGCTGTTGCTGCAGCATACATAAATGTATCCCTCAAGCTCATCCTTCTTGCTCCAAAAGCCCATAGGCCCGAGACCAAGCACGACTGGTCTAACCCACTACGACTCCACCCCGGGCTCCCTCATAAACTCAGTCGTTGATTCTGTTATCGGAACCGTTGCTGACTTCAACTTCTCATCCCTTTGATCGCAGCCCTGATCGGCCACTACTTCTCCGGAGATGGTCACGGCGACTCTTTCTCCCTCACTAACTCCGAGTCAACTTTCAAAATGAACTCATCCAACGATGGCTATAGGGACGCCAACACCACCAAGCCATTACTTCGATTGTACGGCCTGAATGAGATTGGATCTTCTAATTTTTCTTCTTGTTCGTCGTCGTCGGCGACTCTGGTTCGCCAGCGAAGCTCTCAAACTAGCTTCCCCAGCCATCTCACAGATTCTCAGATTTCTTACGTTTGGATGGGTTCCCCATTTTTTGAATATTGAGATATGCCATGGAAAACTAGGGCTCGGATGGAAGCAAGGAAGAAGAAGAAGAATACGGAGAGGTTGAGAGATGAGGAAGGAGACAATGGGAGAGGGTCATTTTTGTCTTAAAATGTTATAATTTTATGTTCCACGGATGTGGAATGAGTCATTCCAGGGGGTAAGGCGAAATGAAAATTTACCCAAAGCGTCTTGTGAAACAAGGCGTTCCACCCATTTTAGGCGCACCAAACGTAGGACGGAACGCTTCGTCCCGCTCTGTTCCGTCCTATTCCACGTACCAAACGATACCTGTGGTCACGGGACACACTTTTAAAAAGGGATAGGATTTGTACAATTCCAGATTACATAAAATATGTCCCCTAATAAAAAATAGTGTTTTTAACATTGGATAATTTGCACCCGCGTGTATAATTCTATCAGTTGTTAACGCACTTTAACTAAACGTAACTTTTTTGTTACAAGTCCGAGTCGGGTCTAACTCGTACTTACGCGTTCGTAACGTGTACTATTTATTTACGATACGAGAAAAATAATTTAAAAGCCGCATAACTACGTCCACATTACTTTGCCAACAAGGGCACAATCGACAATTTACACACTCGGAGAGAAAATTACATAGAAAATTAGGGACGGGTTGTTACATAAATTGTGGTTGATGTCATGATGACATCACATAGGCAAAGCGTTAGCCTAGGCGATTATTGTCTGACTTCTCCATCAGGCTCGTCTTGAGTCCAATTGCCCGAGTGGGCTGGAATGTTGTAAAGAAGGGAGAGAATGAATTAGGTTGCCTATCCTTAAGGTAATAAGCAACGGTGAAGTTGCTCTTACACGAAAGAAACCAAGTATTATCCTAAATAAAATTTTAAATTTAAAGAGAGAGAAAATAGGCTTCGTGATTGTATGTGGTTCTCATTTGCTAGCTCCACGACCACGCCAACCTTTAACCGGAATATTGACCAAAAATAATACCCTTAATTGGAACTTCATCTTTTTCATGACATCGCGTGGCCCCCACTATCCAGTCACGAGAAAGTCAGAAACACCTTTATCGTCCACTCAAACAAACCGTAATCCGAAAGGATAAATCTGTAATGAGACGCCCGCTCTCGCGAGATTTCCCATTTCACCAACTCCACTCGCACCTTCCCCAACGACTGCAAAGAAAGCTGTGAAGGAAACTGAAGGTGAGAAACCCTACAGCCTGCCACCAAATTCCAGAGATGAAGACTCCAAAATCCACCGTAGATACCACGCAGCTTCAAATCCAAGCATCCATGGCCATGGCCGAACTCCCGCCGGAAGTAATCGTCGACATACTCTCTCGTTTACCCGTCTGCCTCCTCCTCCGTTTCCGGTCGATTGCAAAACCATGGCGATCGCTCATCGACAGCTCATACTTCGTCGATCTCCACCTCACGCAATCGGCAGAGTCCAAATCGCATCTCTGTTTGATTCTCAGAAAGGACTCCGATCTCTACTGCATCAGTTTCGATTCTTTAGACGACGCCGTCGAGCTCAATCATCCACTGATGTGTTACAGCAATCGGATTCGCGTGCTGGGATCCTGCAACGGCCTCCTGTGCATCTGTAACGTGGCTGAAGATATCGCTTTCTGGAACCCTTCGACGAAGAAATACAGAATCTTGCCCTCACTGCCATCAGATCGAAAGCGCGATTCGAATATGTGTTTATGTGGAGCTAGGGTTTATGGTCTCGGATATGACGCCGTTCACGATGATTATAAACTGGTGAGGATTTCTCAGTTTATTGGATTAGATTACCTGTCGTTTGTGTCTGAGGTGAGGGTTTATAGCCTGAGAAACAACGCGTGGAAGCGACTCGAAGACATGCCTTATGTGCTCTGTTACACACGAAAAATGGGTATTCTTGTTAACGGTTGTGTGCATTGGGTGGTAACTCGGAACCTCGAATTAGATCAACACCCAACGGAATTGGTCATTGCATTTGACGTTACAAATGAGACTTGTCGTGAGGTGCCTATGCCGCAAAACATGGACAAGAAGTGTCAGATTGATGTGGGATACTTGGGAGGGTGTCTTTGCATTGTAGCTAAATATGAAGATAAGGGTGTTGATGTGTGGACATTGAAGGAGTATGGGGTTAAAGAGTCTTGGAGTAAATTGTTTACCGTATCGCAAACTCAAAGAATCAAGAGTGTTAGACCTTTGGTGTATTCGAAGAATGGCAGCGAAGTTTTGTTCGAACAAGACCACGAAAATCTCGCTTGGTTTGACCTGAAAAGCCAGAGGGTCAAGAGTGTTAAGGTCCGTGGCCTGCCAGATCTATTTGAGGCTGTAGTTTGTATGGAAAGCCTTGTTTCGGTTCATCCTTGTAGACGAGAGGATAAGAAAAAGCAGGAAGCAGCAGGGGACGTGAAGAATAAGAAGAGGTAAATAGCATGCTTTTTCACATTTCGTTGCCCATTTGTTTCATTTGCAAAACTATCCATGTTGTGATTGTGGAGATTATTTTGGGCATTATTTTCATTAGAATTTGAAATTTCGATTAATTGGTAACTTGCTGCAATGTTGTTATTTATACTATAATGTGAGTCAGAAGTTGATGATTGATGACTTGAGTTGGTTCTTGTATTTGTTAGGGATGATTTCCTTTCTCAAGGCTTCAAATTGGTGCTATAGGCAATCAGAACAAAGACGAGAACGAAGAGCAGAGAGGTAATTTGTCTGAATTATGCTTGGTACTCTGGTTTAGACAACTCCTTTTTTTTCTTTCAGTTGTTTGCTTTTATATAAGGTAGGAACCCAAGTTACTTGAGATACCGAAAAGTAGGATCAACATAGAATGCATGGTTAACTTAGAATACTTAAACTTCCTTTATATGAACATACTAGGGTCAGGTTTGGTCTGATCGTTACCATATCAGGTGCATTTCTTCTTCAACAGCTGCTAACCAAGAATAAGGACGTGCTTTCTCTATGATACCTTTTTTTCATTAAAGAACTTCAACTTCTGTAAGATATCGTGGATGCCATAATCACTCTACTATCTGATGCAGTCACTGCGATGTTGAATGTAATAGTCACTACGTTTTTTAAAATAGTATTATATGTTTCTTCTAGTTCTGTATATATAAGAAATGAGTATGTAAGAATTTCTAACCTTTGAAATCTACAATTATAGCTTTCTTGTGGTTCATTCCAATTTCTTACTTATATCACATTAGGATTTGACATTCTTGGTTCACTGCTAAAACATATACACCACAGGTGTTCTCCTCTCTCGTTGATCTTACTGGGTTCATCAATGAAGGATCGTGAGTGTTCTTTGGTGGATGTCCCATACAGTCACTATACCGCATTGTGAGAATAGTGGCTGGAGTGACAGCAATGCTAATCACTAGATTAGGTTGAAAAGAACTTTTCATATACTTTGAAATCATTTCTTCTAGTTTAGTGTTTACTCTCATACAGAGTCTCGAGTTTACATGTGTCCCATCTTTGAAACAGTTTGGTGGAGGAAAAGGCAACAGTCTAGATTTAGGGTGGGACTATCATTTGGGGTGGGCTTCGCTGTTCTCTATAGAATAATGAGAGAAATTCCTGGGCAGCCATCCATAGGGGCGCTCTCACAATCAACCGGGGGCTCTGAACTTGGGTGGTTCCCCATTTATGGATCCGGTTGATTGTTAGACGCACCCTATGGATGATGCAATTAGGGCCATTAGGCATACTCAACAAGATGTTTAACAGTAATAGATGATAAACATGATGTTGTTTCTTCATAATTTGTTTGTATACTAGCTCGACCAGCTCTGTTTCTTGTGGTGAGCTGATTAAAATAGCTTTTGTCTCGTTTGTTACTTGCTTCAACTGTAGTGTTGAAAAATACTCGTTACTGATACGGATTCAACTGATCAACGACTCACAATTCATTGAAGTGCACCACCAATGTTTCATTTTGGAACTTATCTGCAGGTGAAGAAGATTTCCTTCACAACCTCACACTTTGAGGGCCAATCTGAGTTTTGTTTTTAGGGCTATGACCTTCACGTTTGATCACGTTGGAGTATTTGATTGAAATGCTGCCATCACCAGGACATCGTTCATTCCAACCCTTGAGAGCTCATGAAATGTATTTCTTGCGGCAATATGCAGTCTGTTTTTGCAGTGTGTTATTAAGTGACTTTGATTGGCATTCTGGAGATGGTATTGTAAGAAACGAAAGTTCTATTATGTTCATGGGTATCCTACATTCCGGGGTTTTTGGCTGTTGGAGATTGGTCATTGTATCTTTGACCAATGATCTAACGGCCGAAAACTGCGGAGTATAAGTTAGCCGGAGCATACGAGAAAATCTATGTAAGAAAATCCGATGTTTTCTTCCTTACTAGGAAGAGTTGGTATAGAAAATTACTTGGGCAAAGAACGCATGTAAGTTAGAGGGCAGAAGTGCAGTGACGCTACGACGACTGAGCAGCAAGTGCTGGAAGCAGCTCCAGCTCCTTCCCGTCACAGTTTTACACGCGCATGCCGTCCAACTTCATTTGTATTATCAACTCTAGTTGCAAGATAATGCAATTCGTTCATCAAATACTCTTTGGTGTGGTCAGGACTACAGAGGCATTATTCAAAGAGATTCTCATTTTTCATTCAAAAGAAAATCAGTTGTGACGGTGATTGCACATCCAATTTAACGATGCGAAGTGTCTGGTGTTATAACTGTAATGGAAGTTATGGATCCGAAGTGTCTGATGTTATAACTGTAATGAAAACGCGTCCATGACACTATCACAAGTTAAAACCGGTGACTGACAAAATGACAAATTACCCAATAATAATATACTGTTCATCAAATTAATTGAGTTAAAAGTTGAGACTAACCAAATATAAAAAGGAACTTTGATGAAAAGCTTTCTGTATTGTTTATTTTAACGAAAAATCATATTTTTGCACTAAAATGTCAATCCTGGTACTATTCATTTTACCTTTTATTTTGTCCTTATAGTTAAAACTCAAAGTTTTCAAGCTCTTTTCATTAGTTTTCCTAATATAAAACTATCAATTTGCCTACATACTTTATGTGCATGAACACATTTTTTTAGAAAATGAGAAGGAGAGAGAGAGAGAGAAAGAGAGAGAACATGGGGAGGTTTTTCTTTTTGGTTTTTTTTACTTTTTTTAATATTGAAGGTATTTTAAAATCACTGGTAGGTGAGACTTCAATAAAATTTGAACCTATGAAATTACATTATTGCCCATCATATATATTTTTTTGTGTGATAGAAGACTAAGTAGTCTTTTTACCCTCTTTTAGTTGACAAAGAGGATTTTATCAATTAATAGAGATTAGTGAGATATTTGACAAAAATAAAAAATGAAAATAAAAAAATAAACAAACAAATTAGTGGGATCTGATCAGAGCCATTAAGTATCAGAAACGCCTGTGGTGAACCACTCGCTGCACGCAAGCAGTTCCACCCCTAAAGACTTTGCGCCAGCACCCAGCGCATTTATCCACTCAAGTAAACAGTAATATATCCCAATGAACAGTAATAGGCCAAAACATCTCCACCCCTAAAAAAATGCGCTGGCACCTAGCCTAAAAATGTGATGGCACAAACGATCTCCATCCCTACAAAATGCGCTGGCACCCAGCCCATTTAAAATATTTTATATTTTTTTAAAAAGAATAAATAAAAAAAATAGTTTTATTTTCGAATAAGATTTTTAACCAATTTCGGATAAAATTTCAAATAAACTTAAAAAAAAAACAAACTAAAATAAAATTACATACTCATCAAATAAACTTAAAAAAAACACATTAAAATAAAATTACATAAACTCATCAAGTACACTTTATTCTTCAACCACAAGCTTATTTTAATTATCTTCACCTTCTTGCAATCCCCACTAATGCTCAATCAAGTCATTCTGGTGGGTTACGTGCCAGTATGGCTCTTGCACATCAGTGTACCGCTGAACAATCAATTCATTGTAACGTTCATCTCGTTCCAACGGCTCGTGTTGCACGGGATCTTCGGTCCGATCATGAGCACAGTAGATACGTGTTCTTGAGTTGTTCATCGGATCCGGCTCATATTCAGCGACGGCATCATAATTATACTCATCTTCCACAATTATGTTGTGGAGAATAATACACGTCATCTTCCACAAATTGTTTATGCACTCTCCTTGAAGAAGACATTGTAAAAAAAACTCAAGATTTGAAAACGATGAAGATGGATGTAGGGATGTATGGTTTATATGGACAAAAAAAATTAAGGATGAGTTTTTTGGTATTTTTTTTCACACAAAAAGTATATGAAAGCTTTGGTAGAAAGCGTAGAAAATATTGAAATGTGGTGTAAGGTGGAAAATGAGGGTTAGGTATTTATAGAAAAAAAAAAATAACTTTTTTAATTTTCTGTATTTTTTAATAATTTTTAATATAGTTAATTAATCTGGACAGTTGGATTTGAAAAATATTCAAACCCAAGAGCCAAGGCGCTGCCACGTGGCCAACGGTCATAATTCTGACCGTTGGGCCTTTTTTTATTTAATTTTTTTTTTACCGTTGGAAATCCAACGGTCTACAAAAACTAGCCGTTGGAAATCCAACGGCACCGAGGAGGGCCACGTAGCTCTAATCCGGGTGAACACAAGTGGGCTGACAAGGGGCCCCGCCGCCTGCACCCTTGTCTCCTACTCACGCCCAGTCGCGAGTGTGCTGCACGCGCGAGCCAAATAGGCCGGCCTCTAGGTCTGTCCGAAATGGACTTGTCTGTTGCCTGGCTTGGGCTGGGTGCCAGGCTGTTTTGCGGACTGGAGCAGATTGACAGGTGCTGGGCTGATTTTTGGACTGGGTGTTGGGCAATTTTGTGTCAGATGGAACTGCTCTAGAGCAGCCAGTGCAGAGTAGGGAGCGAGAGGGCTTTTTTGTAATATACTGCAATCCAAACACAACATTAAATAAATCGGAAAAAAAAATGGAAAATATATAATAGCGTAGGATTACCGATTACAGTCATTGTAGATGAAGGCTGTGAAGCCCAGACGTGAGACAAAGAGAGAGACAAACGACCCCTTCCCCCGATCATCGTCTTCCCCCAATTCCCACCCTCCCTGGTATTTTTATTCTCCCTTTTAATTTTATTTATTTTAATTTACAGATTTTTGTTTTTCCCGGAGGACCGGCTGCGATTTCCATGCACCCACGCCCACCGTGTGCGTGAATTTTCTTCTCTCGAGAACCGGCTGGCGGGTGGGCCCCACCCTGTAAATGTCCATCACCGGGAGCCCCACCACCAGCAGCACCGTCGATTGCGCTGCCTACCAGCGCAGCGACAGCACTGCCGTCGCCGCCGCGGTGGATCAGTTCCACCACCGATTGTCCTCCAAGCGCAAACTCGACGACTATGGCGGGCCCACCTTCTCCGACGACGAGGACGACGCTGTTATCTCTGGCCTAGTCCACGTCAGGATGAGGAAGGACGAGCCCAACGCTGCCGATTCGTCGTCCAACGGCGCCCCCACCCACCCTCACTCCTCCGCCAATAGTGACGCCCTCAATTCCCGGGTTTCCAATGCCCGACCGACCTCTCACGGCGAGTCTGCTCTGTCCGAGTCGACTCGGTCCCGGACAATGCTCCAATTCTTCATCAGAACCATGTCAGGGGGCAATAATTTGGTAATCCAGGCCTATGCTCAGGACAAGGTGAAATCGCTACTCGATCGCATACAAACGATCACCGGCATTCCGGTTTTCGAACAGAGGCTTATATACGGTGGCAAACAGCTGCAGCCAGAGCAGTCGCTGGCCGAGTGCGCCATACAAAACGACGCCAGTTTGCAACTGGTCGGCCGCTTGCGGAGCACCGATCACCCTCAGGCCTGGCAACTCCTGGAGGACATAGTCTCCGCCGCATTTCGAATGTGCCGAGGCGAAGAGATTCACGAGCCGTCGAAATACATCAAGAGCAGAATGAGCCAATACTTGACCATGGCTCAGAAGGAGACGACAGCCGGATATGGGGTTAGCCATATCCGGGTCTTTGTTCCGTCCTCGGCCCCCTTGGCGCTGCTGATGCTCTATGTTTCTCCCCTGCCAGCTAACAGAACAGTTGCTGAAAATTCAATCAAGTATTTCCTGAATTCGTACCCTACATTGTTGCCGAAACACTTGCATAATTACTGTGCGCCGATAGTGTTAGAGTTTTGTAAGTTTCTTAGGAGATTAGGGGAGGAGGACCCTCTGTACGTCCTATGCCGAGGTTCACTCGGTTCCTTGTTGGAAAGTGATGGAAATTCTCAGGACTCAGAACCTGTGGACAGACTGATTGGTGGGTTGAAAGAGATTTCTCCATTTGTTAGGGAGCTGTCAAGTATTTTGTCTAGGGATTTGGTAGTCAGTATGGACCTTCCTTCGAGTGGCAGGCCGTTGTCGGATGATGTACGTGATTTTAGAGCGTTCTTGCTCCCTTTGCGCACTGCAGTTGCCGATCAAGTGTGTTTCAAGGGTTCTATTTCTGCAGCCTTGAAAGGGAGGACTTTTAGGCATCCCCTGTATGGAGAGGAGATTGAGCTTCTTCACGTTATATATGCTGATTTGCTAAATAAAATGGATGAATGCCTTGGTAAAATGGGAGAGTCTTTGGCTGGGAAGGGAAAGGTGGAGGGTGATTCTGCTCATTCTGGATGGTCTCAGTATCTTGCTGTTTTAAAGGAATTGAGTGGAATTTCTATGCTTTACCAGAGCTGGGAAGAACAATTTAAGACTATTTTGAGGCTTAGAAGGGCTCCATTATGTGCTCTAGTTGTCAAGTATGCAACGCGAAGTGACGATCATCAGTGGCTTATTAAGCACAAAGATGTGCTAGATTTTGAGTCTCGGAGGCACTTGGCTATGATGATGTTCCCTGATGTTAAAGAAGACTATGAGGAGCTGCATGAGATGCTCATTGATAGGTCTCAAATATTGGCAGAATCGTTTGAGTACATAGGGCGTGCAGAACCTGAGTCACTTCATGGCGGTTTATTTATGGAATTCAAAAATGAGGAAGCTACAGGTCCAGGTGTACTGCGGGAGTGGTTCTTTTTGGTATGCCAGGCCATATTTAATCCCCAAAATGCACTTTTTGTGGCATGCCCTAACGACCGTAGAAGGTTCTATCCTAATCCAGGTGTGCTTCCTTCAGCCTTTAGTGCATGGTGTTCTTGAACAACATTTACATTCTGTTTCTCATTTTGCTTGTCTTGATACATTAACCTCCAGCCTGCGATGATAATTGGTTTACTAAATCATATATAGCATTCATATAAAGATAGGTGTTGAAATATAATTGGGTATTGATCCAAGATTTGAACTTTAAGTTGCAGACAAACATAATAGTGTTTGAAACTCGGCAGATATGCTCAAGCACCAAAAGTATTATAGAATAGTTTAGTACATAATGATGCTCTATTCTTTTATTGTCTAGTGTGTGATCCCATGTGCATGCTTCGCTTTGTTAGATCTCTCTTAAGTGATGCGGGCATGTGCAGAAACATTGGACACCAGGGTAACGTCAAATTCTTTAGCATATTGTGCATGGGTTTTAAAAATGTTTATATTACGGAATGACAAACAGAAAATACGGATTGTCAGCGTATTAGTGTTACTGTTGGACTTTCTGTAGGCAGAAAGAAGGTGG